AAGTCACTAAAGGTAAGTGCTCCTCGATCTGTCTTCAGAACGCAACGAAATTAATCTCCAAATTTATATGGAATGCTCACGAGCCTCCAACCCAGTACGTGGCGATCCACACTTGAAAAGAAAATATCGGTGCGATAAATAAAGTTGAAAATTAGCTTATTTATATTTTTATTTGAGATATAATAGGCAGATTGAGCTTGCGAAGCTCACTCCTTTGCTCAATGTGGTGCACGACTTGAAGCTTTCGAGTGACACAGTTCCAACCGACATTACATAGTTCATTACTCAAATGAGCCTTGCTTGACGGCAACGTACTGAAACGGACAAAATAGAGCAAGGCAACGATCGTTCCCGTAATTTGATCACAATAATGAAAGCTTTCGCTCAACATTCAATGCAATTGTGCAGAAATTTCCAAACTATTTCTAACAATTTTCTAAGCAATTTTAAAAATTGTGGTAGCTGAATTATTGCGCAAATATTGTTCAAAAATGCGTTGAAACATCAATTTGTGGAGAAAAATTGTGAATTATTAATCAATTGCTTCATTTATGGTACGTAAGAACTCTTGGATTACCAAGAGCTCTAAGAAGAAAAATAAAAAGTGAGAGAGATGTACAAAATTTTAAAGAATGTTTCTCTTCACATTTCTTTCATTTTCGAATAAATTACGCGCTAATAAATGAGTCGCTGCTAAGTGAATATTATAACTGCTGAATGTTTATTAGTTTTTCTTCATAAGTAAGCTGTTGAAAATTTCAGTGTCACATTAGGTGTCGACAAGTAATAATTAGATATTGTTATCCCAAATTATTAACATATCAACGAAAAATGTGCTTTTGAAGTCTGGCACCGTATATTAGCATCGAATATTCGTTGGCGAATAAATAATCATAATCGTTCCGGGGTGATGGTTGCACTCAAAATATTACCGTAGTTCAACCATGGCGGGGATACCCCTCGATCTGAAATAGTATTCTGTGACCTAATTAGGCGGCGAGAGCTCGTGATGGCCGGCGCTGCTTCCTCGGTACGCGGCAACCCACGGTCACACCGAGACTTCTTATAACCAACATATTCCCTAAGTGTTTATTCTTTACTCTTTTCTCGATAATTGTTTTCTTTTCCCTAAATGTTTATTCTTTACTCTTCATTTCTCGATATTTGTTTTCCTTTCATCGTTTCTTTGATATATGTTTCATCGTTTCTTTGATATCATCTTTCCTATGTGTTTATTCTTTACTCTTCTTTTCTCGATAATTGTTTTCTTTTCCCTAAGTGTTAATTCTTAACTCTTCTTTTCTCGATATTTATTTTCCTTTCATTGTTTCTTTGATATATGCGTACGTATATTATTTTTATTTTCAGTGCGTACGCGTCAGCTCACGGTCACACCGAGACTACTTTTAACCATCATTTTACCTAGGTGTTTATTCTTTACTCTTCTTTTCTCGATATTTGTTTTCCTTTCATCGTTTCTTTGATATACTTGTACGTATATTATTTTTTATTTTCAGCGCGTACGGTCACCAACATTCACCAACCAACGTACGGTCACCAACCAACATTCGTTTGAGATATTCAACGTTTTTACTCTATTTAAATATTTTTATTCTCTTCCAATGTTTCACTGCTATATATGTACCAGTCTACCAGATTTTACGGAATTCATTCAAGTAATTTTGTCTACCCCCCAAGTTAAAAACGTGGTCCTTGTCAGTATGAAGAAAATTAGCTTGTGCAATCAGCACCGAGTTTACGAAAAAGAAAAAAATATAACTCAGTACTCACTGCAGTGACTGACAGAGAGCGCATTTTCTCGTCGACGAAAACTTGAGGTCACGGACGGACGGACAGACGGACAGACAGACAGAAGGACATGGCGAGCACAACAGTGCATTTTTTCCATAAATGAGAAAATGCGCTAAAAATGCTAGCTTTCCTTCCCATTAAACACTATGCTTATTGGAAGGGAAATTGCACGTACGTCATACAAGTGAGCACAATTAAGAGCACCTCGAGCGATAACGAGGCTTGCGACAAACAAGCCAGAATCACATCGTCCATATATCGATTGTGGCCGAGATGATCCATGGCGCCATTCCAGGCATCGGTTCCTCCGACAAACACTTCAAGGGTTAAGGGAAAAACATCGCAGGCTTACCTAATTAGGCGGCGAGAGCTCGTGATGGCCGGCGCTGCTTCCTCGGTACGCGGCAACCCACGGCACACCGAGACTTCTTATAACCAACATTTTTCCAAAGTGTTTATTCTTTACTCTTCTTTTCTCGATATTTGTTTTCTTTTCTCTAAATGTTTATTCTTTACTCTTCATTTCTCGATATTTGTTTTCCTTTCATCGTTTCTTTGATATGTGTTTCATCGTTTCTTTGATATGTGTTTCATAGTTTCTTTGATATCATCTTTCCTATGTGTTTATTCTTTACTCTTCTTTTCTCGATATTTGTTTTCTTTTCCCCTAAGTGCTTATTCTCTATTACTATTTTCTCAATAATTGTTTTCTTTTCCTTAAACGTTTATTCTTTATTCTTCTTTTCTTGATATTATTTTCTTTTCCCTAAGTATTTATTCTTTACGCTTCTTTTCTCGATATTTGTTTTCTTTTCCTTAAGTGTTTATTCTTTACTCTTCTTTTCTCGACATTTGTTTTCCTTTCATCGTTTCTTTGATATATGTGTACGTACATTATTTTTTATTTTCAGCGCGTACGGTCACGTCAGAGACCTTCTCCAACCAACATTCGCTTGAAATTTCCAACGTTTTTACTCTCCATATTAATATTTATTTTTAACAGTGTTTCATTGCTATATTTGTACCAGATTTTACGGAATTCATTAGTAATTTTGTCTACCCCACAGTAAAAGCTTGGTTCTTGTCAGTAAAAAGAAAATTAGATTGTGTTATCAGCATAGAGTTTATGAAAAAGAAAAAAAGGCTAACTTACGATCCCATTAGACATTATGCTTAATGGAAGGGAAATTGCACGTACGTCATACAAGTGAGCACAATTAAGAGCACCTCGAGCGATAACGAGGCTTGCGACAAACAAGCCAGAATCACCTCGTCCATATATCGATTGTGGCCGAGATGATCCATGGCGCCATTCCAGGCATCGGCTCCTCCGACAAACACTTCAAGGGTTAAGGGAAAAACATCGCAGGCTTCAGCCAAAGATTCCCATCCTTTATCATAAGGCATTCCAAGTCTTGGCATGATCCGGAACGCTAACAAACATTGCGGTTGCTGTTCAGAGCCTGAGATTGAATTTATGGTTTCTTGAATATAACGTGAACTCTGCACAAGCTATGACGGCTGCAAGAATGTTCACAGTTAGGCGTCACCAAGGCCGCTGTAATTACCACAACACGACAAGCTGCGACAGGTTGGCGTACAAGCTGTTCCTTGTTATACGTTGACCGCGTTACCTTCGCGTTCCTTTTGTAAATGATGACGAAGGTCGAGTATTAATGATAAAAGCTGTCGTACCAATGAAGTCTTCAGTATTTATGATCCAGATGATAATTGACAACTTAAAAGTATAGGTACTGAAGTATTGCTGTGAAATTTTTATTTTCAAAATAAATTCAGAATTTAAGCTCTCGTAATTAAAGGAAAAAAAACGTGAACATGAAGCACGAAAAGAAAAATCGAATAGTTCACTATTCAAATTAATTTAATTTTAATTTCAAACGTTGCTCCGAAAAATAGGCAATGGCACTCAAATTCCATGTGTAGTCTGTCTTTAGTTCGACTTGTGTTTGAAAGTTCAGATCTGTTATGGGAAGTGCAGCAAGCAATTGGACATTGGTTATCAGAGCAGAGAACGACGTCGAGGTCACTGATAGTGTCCATGTAGGACTCGCGACTGATGGATTGCCAGGAGTTTCTAAGAAAAGGATTTATTCCCCGACTGTGAAAAAATACAATCCATCAACTCGTTATTCACAAAATCGCCAGTAATTTCATACGTCCCAGACAAACAGTAAAAGAAAAGAACAAAGTTTAGAAAAAATACCTTAAACACTCACGAATTGAGTGAAAAAATGAAAATTGATTATGAATTGTAAATGAATTTGATACCGAAATAAAATTCTTGTCCATAATAATACCAACTTGCGATGTTAGATAATAATAGTTTCTATAGATAAAAAATGCATACAACTTATGGAGCGTATTAGTACCTACAAGGCAAAATAGGAGCGAACAGAAATAAACAGAATGTAGAGCGTGCCGTGCAACGCGATGCCTCCCTTCTTAAAAATAAACAGATCGAGGCAGAGGAGTAAAGACGCAAGCATGAAAAACTTCTATCATAACAAAGCGATTCCTATTTTTCCCCAGGTAAAACATGCGATAAATTTTCGTACCGTTCACCAGTTTTCGAGAAACGAAAGATTCCAACACTACATATACACTAGGATTCGAATGGTAAATGCAATTCTGCAAAGAAGCATTACATTGTTTTTGTCCATGATAATAGCGGATTTCGCTGTTATATAGCAAGAAAAAATTTTATGAGAAAGATAAAAAATTCGGTTGTCTCTAGCAGAAAGACGTCACTTACTTTTATTTAAAAATATTTCAGAACCAATATTATTGCCTTAAATTCATGTCGTTCTTATCGAAAAGTTGATGCGAGACAATCAAAGCTTTAGTCTTTCACTAAAGCTTATTTAGAGCCGAACAAATTGTCGGAAAAAAAGATCCATCACAAAATTACAGAACGCCATCGTGGACATTCTCTGGACATAGATAGCTAAAAAATATAAAGTTACGAACTTCGAAAAAGAAATCCGCCGTTATTCATTTCAGCGAAATTTACAAAAATAAATGGTAAACAAAATTGTAATATGAACTACACATTTGAATTAAAATTATGCTAAATACAATGTGAGTGAAATGTACCAAAAATCGAAAAAAGTACCTATACACGTGACGAAAGATAGTGTCGGATTCGAGAATAAATGTAAACAACTCACCGATCATGAGCAGGGTGATGGTGACGTACTCAGAATTGTGAGTCTTGATGGCCCCGAGAACGGTGCCAACGACAGTGCAGCATAAACCAACGAACGCAATCATGATGATGAACCATCTGCGGGAAATATTTAGCAATCATGATGATGAACGATCTGCGGGAAATATTTAGCAATCATGATAATGAAACATCTGCCGGAAATATTTAGCAATCATGATGATGAAACATCTGCCGGAAATATTTAGCAATTATGATGATGAACCATCTGCCGGAAATATTTAGCAATCATGATGATGAACCATCTGCAAGATATAATTATCAATCATGATGATGAACCATCTGCTCTGAAGGAAATAATGATTATAATGGCTGTAGTGCTAACATTTTTCAATTCATACCAGTAATTATGATCTATTTATGCTGAATGTTCTGGTCTGGTTCCTAGAAATTCTTTATAAACACAGTGAAATAAAATTTGCCTTAATGCGTCTTAAGGCTGAGGACACATTAATGCTATTCGTTTCCTAAAGTCCGATAACGAAAGTTACAGCCAGTAGTTACGGTTATATTTCGTCTACGGATACATAATCCATAGCGAATGCTATTCTTACCTAAAAGCTCTCCAGCGAGAGTCAGTCAGTCGACATCAGTAAACGGTGAGTCTACAGATTCATTAACCGTATTTGAATGTTATTCGTACCTAAAATTCTGGCAATGAGAGCTTATACCAGAGAACAAGGACATGATATGTTCAACTTCAAAAGCATTAAAATTAAGTAATTTTCACTGACCTTATGGACACGGCCTGCGTGACAAGCATCCCACAGCACGACTTGCCCTCTAATTTCAAAGTGATAAATTAATTGATTTAAAGGACTATCCGAATATAATTATTAGGGGAATTAGGGAATTGGGGTTATATATATTATTATATTATTCCCCTATATAATAGGGGAATTATATATTAGGGAATTGCCTTCATAATGACAAACTAATGGATTCAACGACCTATAGGAATAATATTGATACAATAGGGGACAAACATCGTCGTGATAAATATATTGATTTAATATTGTTACAGGCATGTAATAATTCGATTCATAAATTAAGGAATAAACTTGGCAGAAATAAATAAATTGACTAGCCATCTAGGGCTTGTTTATATTTGATGTTTTTACATCAACAGGGAAGCAGTTGAAGAATGACGTGGTTCAATTACTATTCAAAATGTTCTCAAGAAATAGAAATAAATTAAAATTGGCCACCGTTATGGCACGCATAAATTTATGAGCACAATTCCCATAATTAAATTCTATTGCCAAACTAAAAAAAATATAATGATGATGTTTGTACTGAAAAAGATATTTGCTGTATTTTCCCCTTTTGAGCAGAAGCAGAAACAATTCTATCAATTAATTCGAATTTATGGTTGATAAACTTTAAATTCCGATACACACAAACAAATAAACGGACGCAGCTTTTTCGAAATGCAGCATTCCATTATTTTCTGGCAACAATATTGATATAAGTTCGTAACATAAGATATAATTTAGCGTATTTATGGTCATTTACTAAAGTAACATAGTGACATAACTACTACATATAGAAATTAAGATTCAAAGTTGGCACAATTTTAGAGTTATTGAGAATTATATCAGTTATAGTTTCGTAAGTCATGAATACTAGAGGCAAAGATCGAACTCCTGCAAAAAGCCTTCTCAACTTCAATAAATATTATAAAAAATGTCTTATTGCAGTGTTATTTTTTTAGTTCCAAATAACATAACATTCAGTGATGTGAATATTAATAAAATACATGACTATTTCTCAGCTTTTTCAACAAAAAACAAATAGACTAGCGAATAAAAATTCACAATAAATTCCCCGTCAACATATGACTTACAAACATGTTTCTCCGGCGCCAGATGCGCAAACACAGCAGCGACATAGCGCATACAGCCTTCAGGCCACATTCTGGCCTAAAGCTCAGCCTGTCATTTGCAAACGTGAATTTTGAATAACATCATAACTTACGATGTCATCGATGACTTGTGAGGGTATGGCATGTAAAACGTGGACATTTTACTAACAATCGTCACAAATTGAGCGGAGAAATTTAGTCTATGTGACTCATTCTTGTTCTACGAGATTCATTTAAAGATTCACGAGTAACGTGAACATGAAAAACATGAACAATTGCTGTGAGCCTTACCGTCATGGGAAATAAGATTCATATCTTTGTTTCGACCTTTCGATTCTCGAGGCGTAAATGGCAAGTGAGCAAATAGAGCAATTGGCCGACGAGAAAGGGCATGTTCTGAATTATCAATGATAGCCTTTTACCAGGGCAGATTCTTCTCTCTCGGCGGAAAGACAAGAACGTCGTACATGAAATACTCGTGCTTTCTGAGCACTATTGAGCAAGTTTAAATGTACAATAGCACAGCAAGTTTAACGATGTACAAAATAAAAATGTAGATAAGATATTAATGCAGAGATTATCTGTTGGATTACTTCCACAAATTTGTAACGCTTAGCAACCAAACTTTTTTCAACTATTTAAAGCATTTCTTTTATTCTACCAACATGTCATCAGTCTGCTCTCACTACAGTCTAGAAGTTCGAAATTTCGAATAGTTTTGTACGGTTTGAAAAGAATTCAATATTTATCTTGCAGAAGTATCCCACGATGGGAGTATCGGAGGAGCGAAAAATTTTAATGAGCCGAAGTGACAAAAATTTTCTGAGGAATCGCAATTCTTTTGGGCATCATTAATACAAATTATGTACTTATACTATTACATACTTTAAATATTAAAGAAAACAGTGCCTTGAATTAAAATTTCAAGATAATTTAGATTCGAAATTTCCCACAAGATTATTTCCTTTACCAGCATTAAAAAAATTCGACGAGTGAGCGGGGTTTTAATGAAGCGCACAAGAAGAACGCTCAGTGACGGAGTTTAAACCGCGTGCGTCGCGCATCACAAGAAACAGACGCGTTGTCAAGTCGCACAAAAACGATTACCGTATAAGATAGGGAGAGACGTACGTTCAGGAAACACAGTCGAGCTTTAGGCGGTAGAATGTGACTTACGATAAGGGCTTAATCCTATATGTACACCAGCTTTCAGTTTGGGGGAAGAGTAGACGTGCTAATTCGAGATTACAAATGGAATTCGTTTAATTACGTATACAGACAGTAAATAAAGTGAATTTATTCGTGACAATCCACTGTTTTAACTTTTTTCGTATCGTGGCAACAAACGTTGGCGCGTTTGTTATCAACCAACACATAGCACACTTTACGTCAATAATAAAATTTTTGAAATTTATCCCATAAATAAATCGTTAAATATCAATACTGCATTCTAAATCTAAAAATTTTGTTAGTGATAATTCCAATTGAAAACCATTTTCATATTAATCTATTACTATTTAGCACGGCGCACGTAAATTAATGCGATGAGCACGTCCGAAATTCGATGGCGGGCTATATACGATCATCTAACAGAAGATAAATTGGAAACAATAGAAATTTAAGAAATTTTACATCTGTACGGAAAATTGCGTTCGCTGTCTATGTCAAGTTCTTTAACCGAAGCCATACACCGAGAATGAAAACTAAACGAAGCCACATGAGGAATGCGCATCAAGAGCGTCAACGTCCATTAATTATTGTCTGATTAAGATCAGGAAACGAATATTGAAAATATGTTTAAGAAGTGACTGACGAAAAAATCAGCGCTAAACTGATGAAAAGGTTAGCGTCAGACTGATGAAAAGATCAGCGCTACTGATGAAAAGGTTAGCGTCAGACTGATGAAAAGATCAGCACCTGACTGATGAAAAGATCAGCGCCAAACTGATGAAAAGGTTAGCGCTTGACTGATAAAAATATAAGCGCCTGACTGATGAAAAGATCAGCACCAAACTGATGAAAAGATCAGCGCTTGACTGATGAAAAGATCAGCACCTGACTGATTAAAAGATCAGCGTCTGACTGATGAAAATATTAGCGCCTGACATAAAAAGATCAGCGCAATACTGACGAAAAGGTTAGCGCATAACTGATAAAAATATAAGCACCTGACTGATGAAATTATCAGCGCCTGACAGCGCCTAACGCCTGAAAATATCAGCTTAAAATGACGGATCGTCACGCGTGGTCGGGAGCTCCCGATGGCTTAAGAGAGCACATAAATACGATTAATTACAGGCTTCTTGTGCTGAGTCCAGACAAATAAGTACGAGGGAAAAACATCTAACGGGAGTTTTAATTACAGCTAGAATGCCAATTACATGTTTTTCTAAGATGACGTGCGCGCACTCAGACGACAGGTCTTGATATCCCTCGTAATTATGAAGCTGGAAATGTCAAGGCCGCAAATTAGAATGAGAACGAATGTAGTTACCTGCGACTTATGATAGATTCGAAGAGAAAAATAAACACAGAAATAGCATGCGGCATGGAAGAAGACCCAAACTTCCGTCTTTTATTTTACGTATTTTGCATAATAAACATACGAATATGTTTTATGAGATTACTTACGTTTGTCTAAGTTTTTTGTTTGAAGCTTCAAGCGGGAAATCTATAATTGAGAGCGGTTACTTCGCGCGTATCCAGGATACTTTTTGTGTATTTCCAGGAAATTAATACGATATTATCAGGGAATTTAGGTTTGCTCGGCGAGAAAAATTGTGATTATGATTCAGTTAACGTAAATTATATTCCAAAATAAGAATTTCAAATTTCAAAACAGGATTTAAAAGGAAGTTGTACGATAAATGTGAGGTCTCTGTAATTATGTCACTTAGTTTAGTTTCAAAATTATTAAGTAAATTCAGGATGACGTGATTACGAACAACGGGATTCTCATATCGTATAAGGATACCCTGTCTCAGGTGACGCCAGCCTAACCAGCTTTTATCAAAAAAATAGAACGAATATTGCTAGATTAAAATGGAATTTCGACAGTATCAGTTGTCGACGATTCTCCTTTTTCTTCTTCTTTAACGGTGTCACGTCGATTTTCAGACAATATATACCACCATAATATCTACACGATTGTAAAATTAGCCACTTACATATATGTCAAAAAACATATACACGCGTTAAAGTAAAATCTTCGAGTTTGAGTTGATATTTTCAACAAAATGCAGCCTATGTTCTGCATTGTGAAGCCACTGAGAGCATTTTCCTTTGAAACCCATATAATGAATGCTTCATCAGAAGAATGGTCTTGGCATGAACACAGCACCAATAAATAAAAATTAAGATTTTAATGATACCAACAATTGGAAGGATTCACACAAACTTCCGTTGCCTCAGTTGCGTAAAACTGAAATAATAATACAGCTTATAGTCGCTGGGATCAAAAGAGCGGCTCCTACATCATTTAAAATCTCAAATGGACGATTAATAATTTAAACGCTGGGATCAAAAGGGCGGCTCCCACATCCGTTAAAATCCCTGATGTAAGATTCAATACTTTAATACGTTACGGATATAAACGACTCGAATCGTGATTTATAGAGTAAAGAGCTCATAAATCGTAAACTGGCAGATAATGGATGATTGGAGTTGATAATTAATTGAGTATTTAATTAATAGGTATAGTAGATGGTAAACGAATGAAGATAATAATAAACTCGTGGAATAGATAATAGTAGATAATGAATGATTGCAGTAGATAGTGAATGATTGATCATATAAATGTTTGCAGATCGAGCGAATCGGGAATATTATGTACTGGGCAATACTGAGAATATTAAAGCGAATTCAAATAAAAACAGTGAAGGCCAAAAGATGCAACGTGATGCTTTCCCCTAATAA